CCCACAGAAAAGATAAACTCCAAATATAGTCCAGCAAGGGGCAGGGCAATTGGCAGGATCTCACCTAAGGTACACGATGTAAGGATATTCAGCATGCCCCCTGGTTGAAAGGCTCAACTACAACTTGAACTTTACCTTAGAATTGAACACAATGTAACCTAAACATTTGTACCCTCATATTAATTTGAAATTAAAAATATGTTATCAAAAAACTTAAAAAGGTTGAATGAATCCTTGAAAGTATAACTTTGACTATAGAATTTCTTAGAACTCAAGTCAAAATATGGTTCTTAATTTAAAAAATAGGCTTATACATGAATATTCATGGCAGCTTTATTTGTAATAGCTTTAAAATGCAAACAACCCTATTCATCAATAGGTGAATGGATGAATTAATGATGACATATGTATATAACATAATAATCGGTAGCAGAAATGAACTATCGATAATGTGCAATATTGACACATTTAAATGTAATTGCGCTGAATGAAAGCAGATGAAAAAGAGTTCATATTGTATGTTTTCGTTTAGAGAAAAGTCTAGAAAATATAAGCTAATCTATAGTCAGATCAATTGCTGCCTGGGGTTGGGGGGTGATTGTGCAGAAGGAGGCAAAAGAAGAATTACAATGGAGCAAGAAGTAAACCTGAGGGATAATGAATTTACTATCTTGATTTTGGTGATGGTTTGATAGGTGTATATACTATATACATGTCAAAACTTACCAAATTGTACACTTTAAATATGTATGGTTAATCTTATGTAGACTACAATAAAGGTTTAAACAAACAGTACCTTTCTCACACACACACAAAAAATACCAAGTCAGAATATATTACTGAAAAGAAAATCTCATTTATAATAGCAACAGAAGCAATACTTAGAAACCAACCTATGACAAAAACTGTAAGACAGGGCAGCACCTGTGGCTCAGTGAGTGGGGAGCTGGCCCCATATACCAAGAGTGGTGAGTTCAAATCCAGCCCTGGCCAAACTGCAACAAAAAATAGCCAGGAGCTGTGGCAGGTGCCTGTAGTCCCAGCTACTCAGGAGGCTGAGGCAAGAGGTTGCTGTGAGCTGTGATGCCACAGTTCTCTACTGAGGGCAACAAAATGAGACTCTGTCTCAAAAGAACAACTATAAGACATTGCTATAAACAGAAATGTTGACGTCTAACAAATAGAAAGACATTGCTTCTTCTTGGAGATGGTGATTTAATATCTCAAAAATGTTATTTCTTCCTAAGTGAATTCACAAACTCAAAAATCCCAGTAACGATACTGACAAAATTATTTTTTTTTCTGGACTTGAAAAGTAAAAATAAACATGCATGAATAGGTCACAAACCACTGGAAAAGCTTATACAGGGGAACTAGCTCTAAACTATACTAAAACATACTACAAATTCTCTATAATTAAAACAAGATGGTTCTAGCATTTGAGCATAATGATGGACCAATGGACTAGAAAAGTCCTGAAATAGACTAGGTATGTATGGAAATTGGATACATGATATAAAACCACTGGGGCCAAGACCAGCTTCTTACTATATGTTGTTTGGACAATTAGATAACCATGTCGAAAAATGATATCCATAAGTCACACCAGACCCAAGTGAATCAGCTATCTAAATGTAAAAACTCAAATAGATTAGAAGAAATTATGTGAATTCTTCTATAATTGGGTATAGAGGAAGATTTGCTACTATGATTCTATATCCAGATTCAATAAAAGACTTACTGAATTTATGACTACAATGAACATGAAAAAAATGCATTGAAAAGAACACAATGAACGAAGTCAAAATCCAAATGACAACTGCAAACAAATATTTGAAATATATATCACAAGTAAAGGTTATTATCTCTAATGCACATTTTAAAAACTGAAAGGAAAAAAGACTATCAATCTGATAGAAAAATGGGCAAAGACAAAGACAATAATCATGTGCAAACATGTGGAAAATGTGTAACTTCACTTATAAGACAAATACAAATTGAAACAACACAAGATATCATGTCTTGCCCAAGAGACTGATAAATATGTCAAAACATTTTGCTGGTGAGAATGTGAGGAAATGGTTCTTTCAAACATCTGGTGGAAATGTAAAACAGTACAACACTTATGGAGGGTACCACGGCAATATCTAACAAAATTACATATGCATTCACCCTGGGACCAGTAATTCCACTTCTCAGGATTCACCGTGAAGATACACTTCCAATAATCCAAAATAAAAGCACAGACTTATTTACTGCAGAATTATCTGTCATTGGAAAAAATATATAATCAAAACTACTTAATACCCAAATGCAGATTAGCTAACTAAACTGATACATCCTTACAAGGGAGTACTATACAAGGTGGACATAAAGTTCATGTGCAATTTAAAATAGTTTAACATAGTACATTGCACACGAACTTTTATGGACACCCTGTATAACTTCCTTTAAAAAGGATAATCATTGTGAATACATACTTAGTGGTTTCCTGGCTGACTTGCTTGATGGGATGGATGGATGAATGAATGAAGGAACAGAAAGTTTTGCCACCTCTCTATTATGGCATGGATACTAAAATTCTAAAACCATTGTGTGTATATTATAGGACTGAGCAAACGAGCTAATATTGGGAGCCAAAATTCTCATTGTGGAAGAACATCTACATCTTATGTACAAATACAGAATGGTTAGAAAAGCCCTCAGGGGTTGGATTGGAAGTGGAGATTAGCAGAATGAATTTGTCATTTTATGTATATGTGTATATACAGACATTTATATGCAGGTATGTATATATGTACATGTGATTTTTATTTTTCCAAGCCCTGTTATTCCATGGACTACAAGTACTGACATCCTGGTAGCAACAAGCACACTCTGTTCCCAGATCTTGGTTTCTAAATTATTATTCCTAGAATTAATGAAGTGTTCATTGCCAGATGAATATATAAGGAAAATGTGGCTTGAACATACAATTCAACATTAAAATGAAGGAAAGCCTACCATTTGCAACAACACGGATAAAAGGACATCATGTTAAGTGAAACAAGCCAGGCACAGAAAGAAAAACAGTGCATGATTTCATTTATATGCAGAATCAAAAAAGGTGAACTAATAGAAACAGAGAGGAAAGTGGTAGTTGTCAGGAGCTTGGAGGAGAGGGAAACCGGAAGGTAAGCAGCCAAAGGACACAAACGTTCAGTTACGCAAGATAAATAAATAAATTCTGAAGATTTACCATATACCAGAGTGCCTACAATTGTTAACAATACTGTATCATATGCTTAAATTTTACAAAAAAGATAGACTGTATATTAAGTATTCTTACACCCCCCCCATATATAATAACAACACTAGTAATAAAAGGGGCAAGAAGAAACACTGACAGGTGATGGCTATGTTTATAGCCTTGATGGTGGTGATGGTTTAATGGGTATGCATCTTAGCCCCAAACTCGTCAAGATGTATTCATTAAATATATACAGCTTTTTGTATGTTAATCATACCTCAGTAAAGTGATTTTTTAAAAGAATATTATTAACTAGTATAAAGTACTTTTAGAACAATAAATTTCAAACAACTATTTATTCTTTTTAAAGGTGAATGATAAGGTAGGGTGAAAAGTCATTAGTTTTCTCAAAACCATAGTAGAACATCTAAAATTTAGATTCTTTGATAAAACATAGTATCAATAACCAAGTTTTGTCTATGTTTTAAGTACTTGAGATAGTTTTTAAGAGTAACAGCATGCTACAAAATACTATTTCTACTACAATTCTATTTTTCTTATTTACATAGTATCTATACAGTAAAAACAGGCTGAATTATAAAACTCAAAACTTATATTCAAAAATTATAAAACTAGTGGTGTTAAAAACTCAAGTGATTTTATTCAGGTGTTACTGCATTTTTCACTTTCTCAAAACATACATACATTAATTATATAAAAAAGTAAAATGTATAAAATAAAACCAATGAAGACTAAGCAAATGCAGAAGAAAAAAGCTGGGAAAAATTTAAAAAGCCAACGGCACTTTGTGATTGACTGATGGGATTATGATGCAGTTTTTTTTTTTCTGTTTTTAACCACGCAACTTAAGATTTGAAATAATGAGGCTCACAGCTTATCATAAACTGATTTTGTTTTTGCTGTGCACACTAGAATCTAGCAATCTCTATGGGTATCTTCATTGGAGCTTCTTCTTATGCCTGGGCCCTTCTTTTGATCTTTTAACAAAAGATTAAATCCTCGTTTCTTTAAAACTCTTCTGCAATTGCTGCTAATGAGGTATATTTGATGTCACTCTAGCACATCTAATGTCACTTGTTTAGTATCTAATTTTTTTTGTGTGTGTGTGTGATGCCCAGGACTAGATCTTTATACAACAGCTACCTCTGGTAATGTAATTCCCAGGTGTAAAGCATCTATAGAATTTACACCCCTAGTTTGTGCTTTCCTATTCCTGTTTTCCTTGAACAGCATGTGGTCTAGAGTAAACAGAGGTGAAGAGGAGTATTCTCACTGAGTAGGATGGGAAGTCTGGTTTTGTCTTTTCTTTTATATGAGAAGCAAAATGTTTTAAAACATTAGCATCCATTAGCTGCCTCCACAATTGCTCTATAATTAGGTAAAGTGATTTTATCTATAACTTTCTAGAACAAAGCCTTGTGTGAACTAAATCCTTCCCCCTTGCCAAGATAATAAATCCTAGCTCTGCAAAGTCCTATAGAACTGAGGCCCTCCAAGAGAGGCCAAAGCAGAGAGAAGTAAACCTAGCTCTCCCACCCACAGAATATTATTAGTTAGATTCCATTTTCAGAGTCCTTCACAAAGGCAATTTTTAACTCATAGCAATGTACCCAATTCAGGAATGACTTTTTTGGGTTTTTTTTTTTTTTTTGGCAGTTTTTGGCCAAGGCCAGGTTTGAATGCATCACCTCTGGTATATGAGACTGGAGCCCTACTCCTTGAGCCACAGGCACCGCCCAGGAATGCATATTCTAAACGTACATCAAAAAGGTTGGTATATCTATAATTTTTCAATGGCCAACATACTTACAGTTTTTTCATTATTTTCAAAAGCTTCTCTTGCTTCTTCAAATGTGCAGACTTCTTCTTTACACTCACGCTCTATGTTGCCCTGTCTTATTTCTTCAAAGAGTCCATTAGCTCTTGGGTAACGTTTTAATACAGAATTAGCTTTTTCTCCTGTGAGAAAAACTAAAAAGAGATATAACAATGAGTATAAAAATGTAATATAAAACCCATGTGGGCACTTAATATACAAGATGAAAACTGTTAGATGCTCTTTAGAAAACAGAACCAACATCTTAAAGTTCTTTTTGTGATTGAGCAATGAAATAAACCACTGACTATATCTGCTATCTTCTTCATTATGTGAGTATGTCCTTTCAGTAGCAGTTGCCCTGGGCAGGGACAGTGACATAATTAACTATGTTATATTCTGACTTACAGCACACTCCTGCCAACCATAGGTGTTTAAATATAGTAATAATGATAGCACTACTTATACTCATTACTGTAAGTAGATACCCCAAGGCATTCTGCTGTCAGACAGCAGCAGCCAAATCAAAATCCACTCTCTAGACTATCAATTTGTATCCCTCTAACTAAAAATAAATAAAACTCCAGTTGACCTAATAATATAAGCTCAGAGAAGTATTACTTGTATGAAAAGGTTACAAAATAACATCAAAAAAAATTAAATTTGGTCATAATTCCTTCTGAGGACACACTAATAGTAATTTTGTACTAAATGCATTTAAGTTAAATACAGTGTAACAGTTTAATTGTCCTTCAGACACATTTCACTGCCTTTCATAAAAAGAAAATTCTACTGTCTGACTCACAGAGGCATTTTGTATAAAAATTCAACACATATTTATGAAACCCAGTAAAATAAATAAGGCAATATTCATATGTATATTTACGGGGGATTGTTTTTATTTTTATATAAAGATACATTTTAGCTTTACTTCAATTAGATTTTTCTAAAAAGCCTCTTGCTTATTTGGAGAGATAAATATAATACCATCAGAATTTAATCTCCACTAATGCAAAGAAATTTGAAAATTTCCTACTGTACAGAACTTTGATATCAGAGAAGGCACATTACAGATCTTTCAAGATGCTAAAAAATAAGTCTATACTTTTCAAAAAAAATTAAGTAAAAGAAAACCAGTAACTACTCTTTCAAAAATGGCAGTAGGTATTTCACTTTATAGAAGATATGGACTCATTATTTGAAGTATACAAATTGACACCAGTTAGGTGGTACCTACATGAGGGTGAAAACCATGATAGGCCTTCAATAAGTATCTCCTTCCTCTGTACCTCATAAGGGGAACCATCTATACAATGAATCAGGATCATATAATATGAGACAAAACTTTTAAAAATATAAATTGTGGTTAAGTTATGTGAAGGAACCAAAAAAGATGCTGTTGAGTCAAATAACAGCAAAATTTTTTAGTACTGCTTTTCACCTTTTAGCAGTATCAGAATCTTGAGAGGACTTTTTTTTTTTTTTTTTTTTTTTTTGCAGTTTTTGGCCAGGGCTGGGTTTGAACCCACAACCTCCGGCATATGGGGCCAGTGCCCTACTCCTTTGAGCCACAGGCACCGCCCTGAGAGGACTTATTATTACAGATTTCTAGGCCTCATCCTCAGAGTTTCTGATTCCATAGTTATAGGGGAAAACCAAGAAAAATGCATTTCTAATCAGTTCCCAGGTAATGCTGATGTTACTAGTCTCATTACCATTGTCTGAGAACCACTATAATAATGCAAGTTCCTTAGGAAACATTCTGAGGAATGTGTTTATAGAGTGCAGGGGTTAACAAATTTAAAGAGTTCTTTAACTGCATGACTTTTTAGGGCCCTTGATATATTTAATATGTACAGTAATGCACTGCTTAACAATGTGGATTCATTCTGAGAAACGTGTCATTAGGTGATTTTGTCAGTGTATGAATATCACAGAGTGCACTTACACAAACCTAGATGGCATAGCCTACTACACACCTGGAGTATACAGTATACCTTACTACTTCTAAGGTACAAATCCATGCAGCTTGTTACTTTAGTGAATGTTCTAAGCATTTGTGTATCTAAACATGTTAAGTAAAGGTAAAGTAGAAATACAGTATAAAAGATAAAAAATAGTACACCAGTATAGGACACTTACTATGAATGGAACTTGCAGGACAAGGAGTTAACAATGGGTGAGCCACTGAGTGAGTGATGAATGAATGTGAAGGCCTAGGACATTCCTGTATTATACTGTGAGTTTTTTATAAGCACTGTAGCCTTAGGATACACTAAATATATAAAAATGTTTTTTCTTAAAAAATATTTTCCTTCTTCAATAGTAAGTTAACCTAGCCAGGCAGGGTGGCTCACGCCTATAATCCTAGCACTTGGGAGGCCGAGGCAGGTGTACTGCCTGAGTTCACAGGTTTGAGACCAGCCTGAGCTGGATCTAGACCTCGTCTCTAAACATAGCCAGGCACTGTGGCAGGTGCCTGTAGTCCCATCTACTTGGGAGGCTGAGGCAAAAGAATTACTTGACCCCAAGAGTTTGAGGTTGCTGTGAGGTATGATGTCACAGCACTCTACCGAGGACCATGAAGTGAGACTCTGTCTCAAAAAAACAAAAAAAAAAAGTTAACCTTAGCCTACTATAATTTACTTTATAAACTTTTTAATTTTTAAAAGTTGGTTCTTTTTAATAACAGCTTAAAACACACATTGTGCAGCTATGCAAAAATGTTTTTTGTTTATAATCTAATACTATAAGCTTTTTTACTATTTATTTTTATTTATTTTTTTGAGATAGAGTCTCACTATGTTGCCCTGGGTAGAGTGCTGTGGAGTCACAGCTCAACAGCAACCTCAAACTCTTGGGCTTAAGTGATTCTCTTGCCTCAGCCTCCCAAGTAGCTGGGACTACAGGCGCCCACCACAACATTCAGCTATTTTTTGGTTGCAGTTGTCATTGTTGTTTAGCAGGCCTGGGTCAGGCTTGAACCTGCCAGCCTCCATGTATGTGGCTGGCATGGTAACTGCTTTGCTACAGGCGCTGAGCCAAGCTTTTTTACTATTTAAAAAGTTAGTTTATCTTATTTATTTGGCTTTTTAAACTTATTTTGTATTTTTAATTGATTGACTGATTGATTGAGACAGAGTCTCATTCTGTTGCCCTTAGTAGTGTGCTGTGGCACCATCATAGCTCACAACAACCTCAAACTCTTGGGCTCAGGTGATCCTCTTAACTCAGCCTCCCGAGTAGCTGGGACTACAGGCACCCACCACATGCCTGGCTAGGTTTTCTATTTTTAGTAGAGATGGGGTCTTGCTCTTGCTCAGGCTGGTCTCTAACTCCTGAACTCAAGCAATGCACCTGCCTCAGCCTCTGAGAGTGGTAGGATTATAGGTATGAGCCATTGTGCCCAGCTGCTTTTTAAATTTTTTAAAAACTAAGTCACAAACATACACATTAGTCTAGGCCTCCACAGGGTAGGGATCATCACTATCACTGTCTTCTACCTCCAAATCTTGTCCCACTGGAAGGTATTCAGGGGTCATCTCCTATGTTAACTATGCCTTCTTCTGGAATATCTTCTGAAGGACCTGTGTGAGGCTGTTTTACAATTAACTTACTACAGTAAGTAGAAGGAGTACTTACTACTCTAAAATAATGAATGAAAGTATAGTAAATACATAAATCACTAGTCATAGTTGTTTATTGTCATTATAAAGTATTATGTACTATATACAACCATATGTGCTATCCTTTTGCACAACTGGCAGCACAATAGGTTTGTTTGCACCAGTATCACCACAAACATGTGAGTAATATGTTATGCTATAATCTTACAATGTCACCAGGCAATAGGAATTTTTCAGCTCCATTAAAATCTTATGGGACCACCGTCATATATGTGGTCTGATAATTGACTGAAACATCAGAATGTGGCATATGACTGTATTTGTAATGTTTATTTAACTATGGTTTCCTTTTCCAAGAGACATGTTACCAGATTGATAACTTCCTAGCCATTGGTCTTATTTATATCCTCTGAAATGACATACAAGTCTCCTTAATATAACAGGCTAACTAATATGTGAAGAAAGACTGTAGATGATTTTATTTCCCTTAGGGCTTCTCTATTCCAGCATAAGCATGTCTTGTTTATTCATCTGTCATATAAAATGGATTTGTCTCTGTACCATCTTTCTCTCATAAAATACAATATCCTATGCTGAAAACAATACTGCATGTATGCTCAGAGAAGTGAAAAATTGATCAAACTATAAGCTTCCATATTGTAAACACAATACATATGTTATTTCAGTCTACGATATCCCTGAGTTTTGAGACAGTTTTCCTGAGGATAAACAATAATATATTTTGAACTTTTAAGAGAAAAAAAAACCTAAATACGCCTAAGAGAAAAATACTTTCTTATATACTATCTAAATGGAAAAGGGGAGTCAAGGAGAGCAGACTAATTCAAGCAACTCCAGTTATCTAGTAACCAGAAAGTATGCTAATTAAAAGGATAAGCAACTGGAAGGTAATGTAGCAGGAAACAGATCTAATCCTAGCCTAATGAAATGTCATATAAATGATTCCACAATCATCTTCTACATATTTCTTGTACCAGGAAGCAAGATAATATAATACTGAGGACTCTCAATGGAGCTGGCAAGTTGATTTTATCTCACTTGCCAAATCTGGTCAGTTAAAGGATACCACTTGGACTAAGTACCTGACTAGTAGGAAAAATATTATTATAGATTAGTTATATCTGGCATAAGATAGAACAGGAAATGGTGGCAGAATATTTGCCAGTCCTTCTCAAAGTAATTTGGAAATTTGATGGACCCTGCATGATTATATTAGAATTAGAAATTTTTTACATGCAGAAACAAAGGAGGAGGCAGCAGCCAACAGGATGAAATCAAATTATCCCCTCTCAAAACAACAAGCAGTGGCTCACACCTATAATCCTAGCACTTTGGGAGGCCAAGGTTGGTAGTCTGTCTAAGCTCACAGGTTTGAGACCAGCCTAAGCAAGAGCAAGACCCTGAGGCTGAGGCCAGAGAATCACTTAAGCCTAATTAATAATTGCCAAGTGGAAGCAGCCCAAGTGCCCATCAACTCATGAATGGATTAACAAATTGTGGTATACGAT